CCAAGTGCTTGAAGTTCCACAGATTTTCCTTTCCATTGTGGATGTTTAGCATCTTTCAGGACCTGACTTCAAAATTGTGGACATTATTCTAACAGCCAGGAAAATACAAACAGACTGTAAATCTGTCTATCATGAGCCTCATATAATATTAGTGAGATAATAAATATGCAAACAGACGTTTCTGAAATACTAACATAAAAAGTAATGCATGTGTTATAATAGAGTTTAATAAGATTATGTGGAATAGCTATTTTCAATTATGTTTTGTCCTTGTATTTTCCAGTACCTAATGTCAATGTAATTACCATCTACTTGTTGAAATGTTGATTAAATACCTAAGCATTTACTAATCCATCATGATAAAGTTTTGCCTGATATCATTATACTAAACAAACATTTAGGCCAAATTATTTTTCAAAACAGCAACAATTTAAGCTATGCTTTTATATTTAAGCTCTATATCTAACAGTTGAATTTCAAAATTACTAAAAGTCAGGTATCTCCCCTTGAAGGACAATAAGCTATCAAGTAATATTAACAGTTGGAGGATTCGACCCAGAAGCTGTAAAGCATATGAACTGGACTAATTCTGTTCTTCAGCCTTCTTTTGCTATCTATGCTTTCTCCTAAATATTTGAAGCCTTACCTTTTGTAGATTTTTCAAAAATCATTAAATGTGTATGAAAAAAGTACATTGTTCACATATGTAACCCCCTGGAAAACCCTTACCTCTCCGTCTGCTGTTTTCACAAGGTTTTTTACACAGTCAACATATACAGTCTGAGAGTAAGAATGTGATTTTTCAAGGACATGAAATGCAATTTGGAGTTAACAGACAGCAAAATCTGGCAGACAGGTACCTAACTCTGGTACAGTTTTGCAAACCTTTTCCTTAAGGCTTGACCATATGTTATAGATCTAAAAAAAATGAATAATGAAAAGCAGCCTTATACTATTATTCCTTTTTTATCCCACTAAATTAACTATAAGAGTATTCTTAAAAGAGATTAATCTTTTCCTAAAAACTATTTGATCAATCCTCTTCTAGTCTTCAGATATAAAGCTGAAATAAGGTCAACTATCTTAAAGCATTGGCACTTGAATCTCTCCTGTCTTACACAGCAAGTGAAACTACAAGAATCAGAAAAAAAATAAAATCTAGTCATTCCAGTGGATCAACTATGCACCAGCTTTGATTCTATTAAGAAATAACCTTGCTTTTTATCA